ATGTACATAATCAAGCACTTTTTTTTCTCCCCCGGCGAGGCTTGGCATCAGAGGCATCATTAAATCAGATATATATTTTTAAATAGTATTCATTAAAACCCATTTTCTGGCAAAACATATATGCAATATTACGGCACTTAATTAAGCTATGTTAAAATATGATCAAAACAGTTAAATATGTTATCTCAAAGTCAATCTTTTCAAAATAACCCAATGCGTAATGGTTCGCATTTCGTGCGTCTTTGGTTCTTAGTAGCGCCTAATTTTCTGGACCGAGCAAAAAAACAGTCTATTCACAACATCTGATCAGCAAACTTGTTTCAAAACACTAGGCATATTGTTGTCCTGATTTTAACGAGAGATTCAGATATTTTTCTAATATATTAGCATAATGGTTATCTAATGAAGGCCTTGCCTGAAAATATAATTTTAAAAAAATCTTTTCCGCATGTGACCAACCATAGCCTGGAGTACTTTCTTCACAGAAATACTTCTTTATTCTGACATTTGAAGAATAGTTACGACTCCGTAGTAGTGGTTATAATACTAAGTATAAACGTTCTTAATTTCGCTTACCAAGAATTTAATTTTTTTAAAAAGGGTGCATTTCAGTGTTTACCGTTCCTCTGCTCACAATGGTTTTCAGGTGTTTGTAGGACATCTAAATAACACGCAGGGGCTGAAGCCAGGAGTCGGTATACTGGGCAATTTCTTATGATGTGAAATCATTTAATACTTCTAATAAAAAAAAGTTAACACATTGTTGTGAAAGCTTTATGTCCTAGCGGTTGAAAGTGAAATACACTCTGGAGATTGCTCTAAATGTAACAACAACACACACATCCTTATCTTGTGAGCTATTGTTGCCACCACAAACGCTTAACGCTAGGTGCATTCACTGAGATCTCAGTAAAAAAAGAAACAAGGCTCTTTAGTGTTGCTTGAAACTGTTCGCAGCTCATACAGCCAAGTTTAACTGCCCGACTTACATCCAATTAAACTTATCTAGGCCATGAGGGGACAGTAATATGATTACACAGGCTTCCCACATTTAGCCCTGACTTCAGCTAACTGTGCAGCACTGTCTTGGTGAACTGCGCCCATTGTGTGTGTGTGTGTGTGTGTGTGTGTGGTTGTGTTTGTGTGTGTGTTGTATCATTTGACACAGGATTTATCGACAAGGAGCAAAAACACTGTCATATTTAGGAGCGCCATTTTTGAGAGTTTTTTTCCCTTTACAAGAGGGTGACATCTAGGTTAACCATTGTAATTATGGTGCTAGGTAGCAATACATAGCTTAAATTCCTCAGACACAGTCGTAAAGTTTGTGCTTCAACGGTGATGTTTAAGCGAGGAATGGCGAGGAAGCAAGTCAACACAACATTGGTGACTGTTGAATGTTTGAACCTGTGCACATGATCATCCTGTGCGTCCTCCTGATAGAGAATTAGCAGAGGCAGATAAGTCAGATGCAGAAGATTTCGCTCGAAAATGTGCATATGCTTAGCCTGCTCATTTGGTGCAACCTAATCAAACTTTCCTGGGTCCTACTGCTAGCGGAATTTCTGCTGCGAGTCGCCCATCCAAGGAAACAAACACACTGTAAACCTTATTCTTTGACTGATGGTCTGAGCGCAGCAAGGCGAGAAAAGCCAGACTTAAAAGAAAACTACTCAGAAAGCGCTTATTGCCAAGTGATGGACGTTGACTGGTCATATTTTGCCACATTATAACAAATACTCCGACTTAAATGCAGCCAGGAGTCCAATTTCCCATTGGTTTAAACGCCTCAGTTCTTCTTGGGTACAGTGAAGTGTTTTTTCTTTTTTTCTGCTTCCTTGATCAGCAGCCCTACCTTTTGGATTTTATTAGTGCATCGCTTATTCATACACTCACATTATTTATTTATGCCGCGCTAATACGCATCATTGAAAAGATTATGAAGGGGAAATGAATTGACAATATTGGGCTGTGTGCCTTGGGTCTGTTATTGCCTGCTGAAAGAAAAGTTTGTAGCTTTTATTTCTTTGCCAGATTAATTTTTTTTCCTGACTTGATTAGTTTGAGTGATGTTGACACACTGGTATATTTTCTCATATGTATCCATAATTGAGAACCTTTATTATAGGCAAGACCAATTATTATGGCCGGTTTTCAGGTTTTAGAAAACTTCCGATACAAGTCTTGGGTTTTGCTTCTAAATTACATAGTGTGCTGTGTATTTCAAACTACTAAAATACGCATTGACATTTTGATGTGCAAATTAATATTATTGTTTTGCAACTGCACAACAGTAGTGCAGCAGCATGTGTCAAACATGTGTCCATACAGGCCACAGGCCAGCATGTTTACATAAATATTTCCATTGCTGCGGCTGTTGATGTACCAAAAAATTACCTCAGCAGCTGTGCGTCGCAGGGCACAAATAAGCCCACATTACTGCCGTTTCTTACGGTTTACCATAACCTCTGTTATTTTTTGATTCATTTAAAATGAAATGATGGCCATGCATGCAGGTAAAAACACCTGAATTAAAACTTGTATTCAATTAGTAGTTTTCCTAAATCATGTGTGTGTATAAATAATACAAAGTCAAAGTGAAATTGCAGAAAATGGGTTGGGGTGTTCGGCGTGGAAATGCGGCGCGCAGGTCCGTTTTAAAGTTGCAGAATATCTAGTTGCTGAAATCCAAATTCCTCTCATTCTCAACGTTTATGGTTTTCTATAGAACAAAGGGATTTAGCGTTACTACAGCCATTCGGAGTTTTATGGTGGACGTAGAGAGGATTTTAGTGGTCAAATTCAAGTGCTGTGTCTGGACAGCTGTCTGCTTTCTTTGTACTTGGATGCAGGATGCATCATGTGAGACAACCTTTTGTCTGTAAGGGTAGTAAACAAGCTAATGCCATTGCCACGTTTTCACAAATAGGCCTGCAATGGACTCTCATTTCCAATGTCTCTGTCTGATCATGTTGCTTCTAGTTTTTTTGCTCTTGCAAGTTGCTGCTGGGAATCACCAAAGACACTAACTTTTGTTTTCCATTATTTTTAAACAACACAGGTGTCCCGTAAGTGATTGTAAGAGAACGATTGCGTTATCAGAATACTGGGTAATAATTCGAGTCTATTGCAACATTTAGGAAGCAGACTATAATCATAAACAATGGGCTATCATATTAATTTCACCTTGTGATAGTATCAGTTAGTCTATAAAGATTCGAAGATGGGCCTCAACAGTACAATTAAAAGTTTACAATGACGCAGGAAATCACACGCAGGCGCATCTTTTCTCCAAACCATTCATTTTATTGCAATTTTTTAAAAGTCCGGGGAACATGTCTCTGTCTGTCACCCACAGATAAATGTCGACGTTCTGGTAGAAAATAAAATGATCACAGCAGCTTGGAACATCAGCTGGGACTTATTTAATTTTAGGGGGAAACGTCGGATACATTCATAGTGCTTGGTCAATAGGCCCAGTCTGCATGTCCTTTAAGGAGCCCGTTGCTAAGAAGACTAATTGACTGCTTTTAATCTTAAAGAAAGAAAAAGCTGCACCCCCCCAAAAAAATACATATATGTTATTTACAATAAAGTCTTATAGGACACAGTTTATCCCAGCATATCAGTCTGAATATTTCCAGGGTGGATATCCTGTTGCCAGTAGCCAACCCAAACAGGAATAATACGAGCAATCTGAGGGGGGTAACAATGTGTTTTTGAATTTGTGTTTATATAATTAGGGCACGTTTTCCCCCTCATGGGGTGAGATGCATGATCCAAGGGGCTTCAGTGGTTAGGAAATCCAGGAACAGGATCTTGAACTGCGTATCTGTCCTTCCACGGGTTCTGTCATGATCCAGAGTCATAGGACATAATGAGAGTGAGCCGATTACCTAAGTTTGCTCAGTCAACATGCATGCTGTGTTTTCTGTGTTGCCTAACAGTTGGTTCAGCTTCAGCTTTCAGCATAATTATAGTCGTCCACCAGCAGTCCGAAGTTAGCAGTGTTTTTCATTTAGTGAAAGAGAGAGAGAGGAGGAAAAAAGCACAATACTAATAAAAAAAGGATGACGAGTTAATATGTTGCATGATATATTATTTTTAAAAGAGATCAAGCCGCATCGTTCCCACCACTGTTTGTTAGTCATGTGTGCAGCAAACTTGTGCACTCCCTGGCAAAAATCAAAGAAGAAAGGAGGTTTAAAAAAAATAAAATAAATAAAATAAATCCTAATCTTTCTTAAATAATGGCTCGCATTCTCCACAGATCACAGTGTAAAATTGACCCGGGAAGTGTGACGGATTTGTTCAACTTTTCTTGTGGATAGTGAAGCGATGACTGAGCTCATGGGATTGCTTTTTGTACCTTATTTGGGCTCCATTCTGAGCGACTGCTGTCATATAGTAACCTACTTTCTTTTGTGCTGCATGTGTGCACCATCAGTGATTATATATATATATTTATATATATTTAATCAAAACATGAACATTAGTAGCAGTGGAGTTGGATTCGTGAGAGGAACAGCCTCGTCATTGCAGTAATAATTATTCTAATGATAATAATATTAATATTAATATTAATAATAATAATTATAATCTTACCTGAAACACGCCATAACACTATGAAATGCATGTCAGTGGGTGCACTCTGCAGTTTGTGCTGTGCCTTTTTAAGGAGCTATGGCTGTTTAGCTAGACTACCAGCAGCCCATAAACATAAACACACTCAGCATATCTCTGTAATTGTCATAAGCCAGCAAACGAGAACGTGTTACTGGTTTTCTCGGTGCGCCCGTAGTGTTTGAAAATTATTCGTTTGAACCTCCTCGATCTTACCTAAAGCCAACCACTCCTACACATCCAACTCTTCCAAATTGATATATGACAATATCTACTTTCGATCACGTGTCTCCGGGGCGACTTAGACGGATTGCGCGTCATCTCGCCTTCCCAAATTTTTCCCTTCTGCTGCAGCTCGTATCCAAAACATCTATCTATAGTACGGAGTACGAGAGAGAGAAAGATGTTTAACTCGGTGAATCTGGGCAACTTCTGCTCGCAGACGCGCAAAGACCGGACATCCGAGTTTGGGGACAGGACGGGCTGCGCGTCCAACATCTACCTCCCCAGCTGCACCTACTACGTGCCCGAGTTTTCTGCCGTCTCCTCGTTCCTTCCACAGGCCCCGTCACGGCAAATCAGCTACCCTTATTCCACAAATCTGTCTCAAGTGCAGCCTGTTCGGGAAGTTTCATACGGCTTGGACCCTGCCAGTAAATGGCACCACAGAAGCAATTATGCATCGTGCTACTCGGGAGAGGATCTGGTGCATAGGGACTGTCTTCCACCATCCACCATGACAGAAATGCTTATGAAGAACGAGAGCGTGTACAGCCACCACCATCACCATCACACCCACCCGGGCTCCAATCACCCCTCCACAGGTTTTTACTCCGGCGTGGGGAAAAACAACGTCCTCCCGCAAGGCTTCGACCGCTTTTTTGAGACCGCATACTGCAGCAGCACGGACAATCAGTCAGACAATTGTTTACAAAAGGGCGAGGGAGGGAAGCTGGAAAGCGACTCCCAACAGCAGCAGCAGCAGCAGCAGCAACAGCAACAGCAGCAGCAGCCCACAGCCTCGGTACCCGGAGCTTCGGAGCAGGAAAAAGACCCAGAAGATGAGGAGGAACATACAAATTCAGGCTCATGCACTTCTTCCTCCGCAACAACCAAGGACGGCAACGCCAGCAAGAGCAGCCACTCGAGTAGGTATACCGAAGCTGTAAAATGGGGGAAGGTTAAGGGGACTAGCCCGGTGTTTTGTCGGTCAGATTTTATGTGGAGTTTTATAAGCATTCAAAGGATTTTATTATAACCCTACAAAGCTCTTTCTTGCAACGAGAAGAATTTTTACGATGGGAAAGCGCTTTGAAAAAAGGGGGATGTTATACACAGACGCCTCTATGGTGAGAGTCTGTGAAATTTTTAAGAGAGAGCTATTGTGACAAATGTTAACTTTGATCATGAACTTGCGTTGGGCATTTTAAGGGATTTTCTCGTTGGGCTGTCGAGAGTAAAAACCAATTGGGCAGAACATTGCTTTTGGCGTCTTGTGAATTTTCTTTTAGCACTAGCTTTGCCCGCAAAGGACATGCTGCAAAGAGTATTACACACTTTTTTTACGGTTAAATGCGTCCTTTTCTGTGCATCCATCTGCCTGTACCCATCTAGATATAGTGGATAGATAGATATCCATAGACAAGCCGTTTGCTCCACTTACTAGCAGGCAAGTAAATGAATCAGTATCACACAAATCGATTGTTTTTTGCCTCTTCCTGCATGGCTCTGCAAATTATACTGTCCCCCCTAGAATCCGCTGAATAAAAAAAAAGCTTAAGTTCATTGCTATTTTCTATTCCCTGTGTGCCTGCTAAACATTTGCATGCCTTATTATGACATTATAGTGAATGGCCAACATGAAGCAAAAAAAATAAAATAAAAACATCTGTTTGATTTGAAAGGCTGAAATTGACTCTTGCTGGCGCACAGAGGTCTTTATTGTTGTTTCATGGACACTGTATCAGCTCAGCCAGGCTGCAAGATACAAGCTAACTGAGACTAGAGTTTGCCCCAGTTCCACACACACACACACACACACACACACACACAAGAAAAAAAACAATAAAACAATCTATTTCCCCCGTCACCTGTTTGATAAGAAGTTATAGGGCCACAGAGGTGTGCGTAGGCCAGTGCAGACAAGGGCAATGCATTTCAGCTCAGTGCCAGAAGATTGTGTAAATAGTTAGTTTAGCTCCAGAGGAATGTGTCGCACATAATGCGGTGAAATACTTTTGTTGTTGTATATTTATAACAGATAAACACGTACTTAGAGGCTGTAAGTTGATATTATTTACTCCAAGCGATTCGGATATTTAACACTCTTTATGACTGGTTTATCTGATAGCCTCAGCTCCTTCGCCTGATGAATGTTGACTGAAATGTTATCATTACTAATGCCACTGAAACTGAATTCTTACAGAGGCAATCCTCACGCCATCTAAGAAAAAAACACAATGTTAATTCATGTGGCGTTGCTGCTACTTCCACTGAATTTTCTCAATTTTTTAATTTAAATTGTATTTTATTTTTTTCTTCAGGCGCTCCTCGAACAAGGAAGAAGAGGTGTCCATATTCCAAGTTTCAGATTCGAGAGCTGGAGCGGGAATTCTTCTTTAACGTTTACATCAACAAAGAGAAAAGGCTTCAGCTTTCCCGAATGCTAAACCTCACCGACCGCCAGGTTAAAATTTGGTTTCAGAATAGAAGAATGAAAGAGAAGAAGCTGAGCAGAGATCGCCTCCAGTATTTCTCTGGAAACCCCCTATTGTGAGCTGGAGCAGAAAAAAAAAAGTGTCACAGTCTTGGACGGGTGGCATTTAAAGGCCTCCTCTTATCTCATTGAATTGTAATCGTGGGCATAACCATTTTTTTTTCTAAAGGAGCCCATAATCACCAACAGTGCAATGTTAAAGTGGACAGTGGAAGAAATAAGGCCTGCATGGGAGAAAGTCGCCATTTTCTTATTGCCCCTATACGGGCGGCGATGAATTTCTAGCTGGTCCTCAGAAAAAAAAAGAAGAGAAAGGCCTACATGGTTAGAATAATCATTTATATGCTGTTCTTGAATATGTCCCTCTATTTATCACGACTCGCCCATTGTGTTTATTCTACTGTTCATATAGGCATATTTGTTAAAAAATATCAAATGTAACAAACCAGTTTGAGTCCTTATCGCGCAGACAACTTTTAGCTCTTATCCCTCCCTCTGGTTCTTGTATATAGCATATCATTATCTAATTATTTCTCAACCAGAGTACGAACAACTTCTAGAAAATCTCCAGGCTGCCTTTTTTTTTTTAATTATTTTTTTTCGCCCATTGAGAACTGTGACGTCCAATCTGTGAAAGTATTCCCCCCTCTCCCTGTACAGAGTTAGCCTATGCAATGTGCATTCGTGACTGTAAATAGGCGTATGTTGAATTTCCTTTCCCCTGCTGCTATTTTTTTTTCTCCCCCCCCAGTACACTGCCCATACAACTTTAGCAGCTTTAACGCCAACACTCGTTAAATTATTTGCTTAAAAACATTGGTGCTTTGGAAATTCCAGAGTGGAGGAACAGATTGTCGGCCTGTGTATCATTAACATAATACCTATGAAATAAACAGAAACGTATAGGCAAAACTCAACGACTTTGTGCTTTTTGTGCTTCCATGATCACAATTCCCATGACTGACGGTGCGTTTATTCTCACAAGGCGCAATGTTTGGTGCGTTTACTTGCTCGTTTGAGTCATTCAGACCCTTTTTTTTTTTTTTGTTGGAACTGCTCATAAATGTGCGTGTCGCCTGTAACTGTTGGCCTACATAGATAACGGCTTAAACTTGTGTTAATGGGCCACTACATGAGGATACACACATTTGCTGTGTTGGATTTGGCGGCGATTGTGAAACTAAAGAATAGTTGTTGTTGCGGGCCTACACTTGTCAGATTTTTTTATTTGTGTGTGTGTGTGTGTGTGTGTGTGTGTGTGTGTGTGTGTGTGTGTGGCTATTTTAAGGTTACACAACTCCCAAAGATCATGTTTGAATTTTAACACGCGTGTTAAACGAAGATAGAGCCCAGATCTTAGAAATGTGGAGAAAGAGAGTGGAATGATAACCTCTTTTAGTGCCCACTAAATGGAATCGCCACTCTTGTAGTCTAGACACTGCCATAAAGACAGAGGCACTAAATGGCTATTTTTTTCTCTTAATTGCACCGTCTGTTCGGGGGGGAAATGGCGTTCACTTCCGCAGTAAATAGTAAACAAGCAAGACTGGATGTCCGAAGGGAGAGAAATCTTGCCAAGAGGTTTCGACATGAACTCGGTCTGTGTAGTCTGCAACGTCAAACCGACCCCCAACCTCTCCTCTCACTCGTGCGCAACTGTCATGTCCTCCATGTCCAGCATTCTGCTAGTGAACTGGAAAACCACCAGCATTTCTAGAGAGAGACAGTGTGTGTGAATATATATGTGTGTATATATATATAGTTGTGTTTGTGTAGTAATATTTGTACGATGTATATAGTTTGGCATTGGTTTTACGCACAGGCAAACCAAAAAATATCTAGGGATTTGCCTATATATACATTCACATATATTTGTGTGTATGTATCTATTTATTAGAATTTAGTATTCAATTGTCTAATACGTATTTTTTTATGTATGCATATATATATATATATATATATATATTGTGTATGTGTATATATAATTGAATTCTGCTGTTTAAAACTCATACATAGCCCCAGTCTGTTTGCACTGACCCCCAAACCGGCCTATTTCAACACATGAGTTATGAATAAATAATTGTTGACTAATTGGGCCATGTGTTAGGAATTGTAACAACAGATAGCTAGGGGAAAGGAAATCATAATTGCCATTTTCTTTTCCTTTTTTTCTCCCCCCTCTCCCAAATGTGTGTGTGTGTGTGTGTGTGTGCGCCTTACCTTACCTTACGAGAGCGCATGTGTATTTCGTTGGTGTTCCCGTGCACTCAACATATGTGCATGATGATTGCACGTGTGCATTAAGTACAATTTATAATTAAATGTAGTCTTTGAACTTCAATAATGTCAAGGCCTTCACCTTTAACCCGGTGCAATAAAGTGGAATCAAGGAGCCCCTTTAGCCCGGAAATGTGTGCAGCGGCGGAATGGGCCAATGAGAATGAGTGGGAACAGAAAATGGAATGTGTACAGAGACCAACTTTGACCCCTCGCATTAAACTACAGCAGGTAACTTTGCCAGCTTTAGCACGCCCAGTAAATACACTTTATTGTCCTTGTAAAATGTATACGTTTTCACGCATGAGACGTTTTAAAACATGTTGGTATAAACTGTAGGGCCTGGATTTGTATTCTCTGAGAAAAGAAAACATGTTGGTGTGTGGCTGTTGCTGTGTAGGATGCTTGTCGTAATGGGTGGCTGTGGAAGTGCAAACATGGTTGTGTAAGTCCAGTCCACCCTTTGATTCCTGACTTTACCAAAGACTAGTGCGTTTTTGTTTTGTTTTTTTTCTTCACAGTGCAGTTTGGCATTGCTGTGCGTTCACGTGTGAGCGTTGAGATCAGCTTGGTGTAATTTTGGTTAGTTTGGGAAGGGGGGGGGATAATGGTTCAGATTTGGACAAGAGCTTCAAATGGTTTACTCCGAGGAAAGGAAATAAAAGAGGAGGGGGGAAATTCCCTTTGGCTGCATCCATGTGATCCGAGCTTTTTTCACGCATTTCTTAAGGAGCACGTGGCCATCCACATGAGCTGAAATCTGACTTAATCTGCATATGTTAGTGTAATATCAAAGGTGGGGGAGAGAAAAGGACAGGAGGTCGTTCTGACAAAAGAAAGACGATGCACACTTGCGGAGATCAAGGCTATAGGAGCCCCTCTCTTGCCACACCCACCAACCTTGGCCCTGGGACGGTGACGTGGGTAATTTGTAGGCTTCTCCAACACCCAACGTCACTAACAGAGAGCGCTGCAGAGGCTCCTGCAAATGTTGTCCATCAGCCACACGGGGGCCAAGAGTCTCCAGGCCTCTGCACTGTTTTGTTTCCTCAACGGGATCTTAAAAAGCGCTTCCTGACATGGATGCCTCGGTGACAACAGAGCAGTATTATTAGTCGTAGATGACAAACCTCTTTGCTCTTGTATTTGCTTTGTGGCAGAAGGACGGGCCACTCTGCTGGAATGCAGTTCCTGCCCAGTCTGGCTTATTGCACTTGGGTGTTGTGGTGAAGGAAAATGGCGGTGTGTTTTATGTAGATGAAGAGAAACCAGTAGGGAGAAGATGTAGCCTGGTGCCATTAAAATGCACAAGAAAAATTAATTAGTTCTGCTACATAATAATCAGTAATTATTTTTTTTAAAAAAAAGAATCTCAAGCTTTTCAAGCGGATGCTGTAAAACCACCAGTAAGATTTGATTTTACTTTTATTTAGAATAATATTTAGAGCAATAAACAAATACTGTGTTTGGCTTGAAAGTTATAAGCTTATAAACCCAACAAAAATAAAATGTGACACCATAACAACACGTATTTCCTTCTAATAAAATTAGCAGCGTAAAACAATATATAAAGTGGAAAGACAAATGTGTACATGTAGAAAAAAAACATCCTCAATGTTTACTTGCCAAATGTCTTCTTTTTTTTAAAATTCTGTTTGTACCATTTTCTGCTATTTTGTTGCACAATAAAGAAAACAATTAATCAGTTCCATTTTTTTAAGCAATTCTTATTGCATTTGTCTTTAATTCTTAAATAAATGTAGAGACAATATTGTATTTTTTTCAACCCCTCACCACAAATACTAATCAAAGCGTTATAGGCTATTGAATGGTTTTATACTACAAATGTTCTACTCATATCTCAGCACCTAACCAGTTCTATTGGGCCATAAAACAGTTCGTCGCAGTAAAACGAGCTGCTGCTATTGCTGCAACCAACTAACTCTCAAAACGCTTTTAATTTACATTCTCCCTTTTTTCCCCTCCTTTTTTTCAGGAGGGGTGAGAAGGGTGTCATTTATTTATTGTTGCCACCAAAATTAGTCTGAGCAAAAAAAAAGTAATAGAAAGTTTCCTCTATGCCAGCGGGTGTGCGTCTTCGGTGCGGTGGTCAGTGCTTATAATGGAACACTGGTGCACTTTGATGGCGGTTATCACTTTGGGTTGTTTTTTTTAATTAAGAACCTACATGATTCTGGCACCGTAAATTGCGCACGGAGTGGACAAGCAGCATGAAACAGGACACAAAGCAGAACCCTCCTCACATCCAGCTGAAAAGATATTTCAAAGTGGCTGCCAGGAGCAAATTAGTTGTGTCGCAGCAGTGGCTCCAATAAGGAGACCCGCTACCGTGCAGCCTGTCCGGCGGCATTCAACACCTATACCTGCGTGCGTTATGAGAGCGGCCTCCAGGTTTGGAATCAATTGGACGATAATTTAGTGGTCAGCACTGGCTGTAGTTTAGACAAGTGTAAAGACCGTAGTAAAATACAGTCGCAGTCAACTGTTGGTGTGTGTGTGTGTGTGTCTCTGTGTGTCTGTGTGTGTGTGTGTGTGTGTGTGTGTGTGTGTGTGTGTAGCCAGCAATGCACGCGTGAGGGAATTCTTGAAGGTTTAATGCACACAAAAATACAGCACACACTAAAGAGACAATGTTAATCAAGCCTCATTTCAAAGTGAGCTTCTTCTTTTTTTTTTCTTCCTTTTTTCTTCAAATTTACAAGAAAGATGTATCACGAAATCTGAGGAAACATCTCGTGTTTCCATGAGAGAGATATGACCTCGCTAAACAAACAGCATTTTGTTAAGGAAGCACACAAGACGCTCTTCCATTTCTGATGAGCCTTTTTGTTTGCAACAACCAAACCTACCGTATGAATGTAGCGACGATAAGCCTGTTATGCATGCTTTTAATGACCTGCCCTTTGGACTGCACAGCAAAAACAGTTTTACCAGTTTGCTTCTTTTGTTGCTGTGGAATAATAACGCGCACAGTAGCAGGCACAGAAAAAATAATGTGTGGTCACGACTTCTCCAGACACGTATGTGCTGTGATTGTTGCAGACTTCATGTTTCTTAGTCTAATCTGTGGTGTCAGAATACACATGTCCACACTGTTCGATGTGAGACATTACAGTATTTTTCCCATGGCGCTGGTATGTCTGCGACTGCACATGACTGTCCCATCTGTGACATTTAATACACATTCTGCATTCTAAAAGTTATCCTGTCAGATGTGCGGCATTCCAACTAGTCTGCTGCTTCACTTTGTCATTTCAGGTACAACATAACGTGCAAAGTCTGTCTGGGGGAGGGAAAAAACCCACCAGGTCGGAATGTTCTCAGCACCTTTTGTCAAATACTTTTTTTTTTCGCATTTATTACATGTTCTGTGCTCCTTTCGAAGTCGTACGTGTTTAATTTGCTTTCATGTGCATGACTTTTTGTGTGCTGTAGGCAGACTTGGTTGGTAGCCTGCAGGCTAGGTGTGAATGTGTCATAAAGCATGCTTTGTATTTGTCAGGGATGTGAGTGTGTGAAAAAGGGGGTAACCGCGTGAGGTGTGGTTAAGCGTTCCTACATGAAGCAGCATGTGTATTAACGGAATGATCAAGTCTGAAAATAGCTAATATCTCCAACATTCAGCTCCTTGTTGAATGTGACTCTTCCAATGCATTCATCCAACATGTTCTCCGCAGCCAAGTTAGTTCGTCTGCGATCTGCCTCTGTGAGAATCCAGCTTCTTTATAATGAAGGGAGATGTTGGGGGGGATTTCAGATTACCACAAAACACACCGATCAAATTAGTTCTAGTATTTATTTCATTCACAGTGAGTGTATCACAGGCAGACAGAGGTTGTGCCTCTTCCGGAAACATCACAGTTCATCTTCAGATACATGCAGGGCACATCTCAGCGAACATGCATGCATGAAAAATGTTGGCCTTGCCTTTGAAAATGATTCTGAGACAGACAGACAAACAGAGAGACAGACAGGCAGAGAGACAGACAGACAGAGAGGCAGACGTGCACGACGCGCACAAGCACGCCCTCACTTTTTTTCAAAAACAATTTTAATGGGATTTACGCACGCCATAGTTCTGTAATGGGTCAAGACTCCAGTTATTAAAGGCTAAAATGCCGATGCAACACAGTTTTGTGGAATACTAAATAACACGCATTTCCTACTTTAAAATATGTATCTCTCTTAAAATCTGAAATTACAGAAATTACAAGTCTTAAACATGTTAAATCACTTTGGTGTGATTTTAGATTTAACACATCAAAAACTCAGTTTATTTTGCATTAAATCTTATGCGGTTGATTCTGGACAAAGTGTGGCTTTTAAAGTAAATAGCGAGATGAAGAAAATAGCAAATCACACTTTCATGAAGTTCCAGCAGCAGAGTATTGCTGTTTGTATTCTTTTGTTGTCACTGCAGGTATATTTGGACGTTAAAAAAGCGCAACACTGAAACCGCAGGCCTTACGCTGCATCTATAGGCACGAACGAAGGCAACTGTGCTTTTTAACTGAGTGTGTAATAAATAAATAAAACACAATACTGTGTCCAATCCACGTATTAACGCGCAAAATTCACCAAAACGGACAAACTCCCACTAAGCTGTTCCTATTAAACATTTTAACTCTGCGCATTAGAAGTGTAATTATACCGTTGGTGTTCTCCTGCTTTTTAATTTAGATTTTAATTTGTGTGCTACGAATTTATTCATCACGTTTTTAATCCTGATGTTAGTCATTTGCAGAGTATTTTTTTATTGGCTGCGCTCAGCTGCAGTACAGTATTTGTTTACGTTGTTGTTTCTGACATGGTTTTATATATAAATCTACCTTTTTTGCATGAGGGAGACAAATTTAAACTCTAAAAAACATCTAAATAGTTTTGAGGGGATAAGAAAATTTGATCTTTACTGAACTAATCAACTTTCTGCGTAAACAAAACCCGCCTTCATTTTAAAGAGAGAGACTTATATTTTTTAAGACTCTACCTGACCCACATTTAATCTGAGATGCACGAAACAGAGCATAACAACATAAACAAATATAACAAAAAAAAGCAAAAACGCCTGTACGACTGTTATTTTTGGACATATAACACAGTGAAACCACATGCAATGCAACAGGACATATACTGAAATAAACACAGGAGTGTGAGTAACAATACCTCAGGTAAGTAATGAATTATTTATTAGGCTGTAGCTTGTTTTGTATTATTAGTAAAAACAGAAAAGAATACGCACCATGCTTGTTTTAATTCTATGTTTGATTCCATTTTTACATCTCCATAATAAAGGCCATGCGTTTGCGCACAAATTCCAACGTCTAGTTTAACTTTTGCAGCCCATTTCAACAAAAAGGAAACACTAAAAGAGTCAAGTGTTGTTTCACGAGTTAGTTCAGTATAGTTAAAGTGACTAGTTGGTCAAATAACGTGAACATGAACTTGTTTTTTAACGAATTTTTGGTGTAGTTCTGCTGCAGTAATAGCAATATGAAGAGAAACGCAAATAGAAAATATGAGGGTCCAAATTAGAGACCAGGTTCAGATAACTGTAATTCTACAAAGCCATTATTACTGTGCAAGGTCCTGTAGTTGTAGGTTTAGCAGGTCAAAACGAACATGTAGTTTTTAAACTACTTCATTAGTGAGACTATTTCCCCCCCAGTTCACCACTTATATCCTATATAGAAATATCCTGACATCTCTGCAACGGTTTTCTTTCACTAATAACACACCTAGGCACAGCTTACCTTGCTAAATCTGTGGCAACAACAACGCAAACCGATGAAAACACACAAAATGAACTGACACAAAATGCACTCAGTCTACTGACAAACCCTCGATGTCTTCATCTCCACGGCAGGGCGAAAAGAAAGTCAAACGGTGACCGAGTTAATTTTCAAAGATTCAGAAGTTCTGCACTGAAATAGAAATAAAATGTTCAAAAGCCACGTAGTAAGTACCGTTCAAAAAAAAAAAAAAAAANAAAAAAAAAAAAAAAAAAAAAATCCCTGCCGCAGCAGCAGCCGTCCTTTGTTCTTCCTGGTGCGGGCCTGCTGCAGTGGCCGGCCACTGGGCGCTGGGTGGCGCTCTTGCTCCATCAAAAAGCCCCTAGGTCTCCCAACTTGACCGCGCTGACGTCACGTCAGTCTGGAGCATCAAGGCCACTTCCACGCCGCTATTGGTCTGAAACTCACATGACATGTCTCCGAGCATCCATAATTATGTTACTGATATTTTTGCACCCCCCTCCAAAAGATGTCAGCATCCTACTGTCCTTGTTCTCCTGGAGAAATCCCGTAGTTCAGAGCAGTGGAACACACCATTCACCGAGTTGCCACATGCAAAAATGTCATGTCCGAATAACATAGCGCCCGGTAACTTCCTGATGGATTCCTTAATGGGAGGATCATCTTCCTTCAGGGGTGAGGGTTATTCCAGCAACCCCGGAATGTACATCCACTCAGCTGCAGAGTACGGATATTCAGTGATGAGAAACAATGGCAAGGTTGGACCATCTCCACTCTCGAAAAGAGACGAGCTTCCTCCGGGCGCTCTGCCGCTCAGCGGCTTCCAGGATGCGCCCTACCTGTCAACACAGCTGGCTCCGTGGACCCCAGGCTCCAAAACCAGTAGGGACGAACAACCTGTTGCCCAGTGTTTACAACCCTGCTCGTTTCCAGCGGGCAGCGTCAAAGAGGAGGCGTTTTGTTGCCTCTATCAGGATGACAGCAATAAGGGGAAGCAGACAACAGAGTCAGCCACTTACATCCGGCTTGGGGACAATAGCAGCCGCTCTGAGCAAACTGCCGCCTCGTCCAGCGGCTGTTTCCAGGTGTACAACGGACAGAGGCCGCAGCAAGACGACCAGCAATTCCCCTCCGGCTTCTCTCTGACCCACTTGGCGACATCTGTTGAATCAGCAGCAGAATCGACAATAAGTTGCAGTAAATCGGCGCAGGACACTCCGAGAGAGGTTTCAAAAGCAGATGAGAGTCAGAGCAGAAGGGAAGAGAAGGCCAAGAGTGACAGCTGTTCAGATAACTCGGACGGGGAATTAAAAGGTAGACTATACGCCCCTCATCCCCCTGCTCGACACACATGCACACATGTACACATAAATCTGCGCAGAAATACAGTACAAACACACACACGCGCACAGACACACACATCATTTGTTGACAGTCTCAATAAAATTATCCTACACGTGCATTATTCATAAGTTGTGCACGTTGCGTTTGTGTCACGGTGGTGTAGTGCAGGCTTGTGTTTGATAGCAGTCATATGGGCTGTATGGGCATTTGACAGCCTCGCCCAGCGGGGGTTATGGTGCCCGTGGCATTTAACACCTTTCCATTAATGTGAGAATGTGAGATGGGCAGTTATCATTGAAATAAACACGCTCGCTCTGTCACACGCATGCACACTCACACGTTTATATATATATATACACACACACACACACCCCTTATTCTCTCTCTCTCTCTGTCTCTCTCACACACACACACACACTCACACACACTCGCCTTCTCTCTCCCTTACAAGGGTCATTTCCATCTTGAGACCAAACCATTTTTAACAGCACCGTTTTATGCTTCAAAATTCTGGTGTGGAGCCAACATTAAATTCCACGCTGCTGCTGCTGCTCCAGTTGAAAACCTCTGGTCACAGCGCCCCGGGTTATTACAGCCGCCAGGAGACATTTCTCAATATTAAATTTGAGAAACCTCCATAGTCAATTTTCACTTTTCTGCGTCGACGCAATTCACTATAATCCACTTCAGGTTTTAACAGGGTAATTATTTTAAGCGAAAACCCACTTTTACGCACGTTTGTTTCCATTGACAGCTTGCAGGTTGACATGAACAGACTTTGGCCTAATTTTCCATGCGTTGGACAAAACCACTGGTATGCACGACTGAATTAAATGGTAAAACTGAATTTATATGAAAAAAATGACGGTCGTTTGATTATATTTTCAGTATTAATAGTAGCAATATTATTATCCCTAAGACCCTGATTCTAGCTATAATGTTGTTGCATATTTTTTGTTTAGCTTTTATTTAAAATGCGTTTTATTTTGTTATTTATGGATTTAGCCAACTGCTTCATGCATTATAACCAACAGGCTTCATTAATTTTATTTTTAATTTAACTAGAGGATGTGTGTGGTCAGTGTGTGTGTGTGTGTGTGTGTGTGTGTGTAGCCTGCGTCTCTCTGCGTGTGTGTGTGTGTGTCCTGTTAATCTCATATTACTGAATTAAATGTTTTGGTAATGATTAAATGTGGGCTACACACTGGGTGTTCACATTAGGGTAATTATTGTATACTGTAACCTGCGTGTTGTGCGTGTGTGTGTGCGTGTGTGTGTGTGTTATTCCCCAGAGTCTGCAAGCTAATCAAGAAATTAACTCAATCTGCAGCAGTGTGATTTTTTTCCCCCCACTGCTACCGTGGAGATGTCTTCTTTCTTTGTCTTCTTGTTTTCCTTTTTTCTAAATCTGTTATTACGCTACTGAGACTTCCTTTTATTTTGAGATGAACCTCCAAAAATTTCATTTGGCACCGGTGTGCAAAGGTAATAAAATTTTATGGGAGTCTGAGGTCCAGCATAGACAAAAGAAGTGCTTACACACCCTAGTTTGATTTGATCCAATTATAGTTTTACATCACACAAAAGCAATTTGCGAGCAGTAGGTGTTGGTGCAAAAAAAAAAAAAAAGGTGTGATGCTCGTCGTTTGTTCATTTTGTTCAAGAGAAGAAGAAGGAGTCCACACGCAGGTAAAGCTGAACTTATAAACCACTGATTTTTACATCAGTTTGAACGGCTTTGGATGTGCATTTGTGATATGGGTGTGTACACAGCATCCGGTCTGTAGGATGCAGATTATGAGGCTGTAAACGATCTATGCGCAAAAAATGACTGTGAAGATTTGGCCGCAGTTGCTTATTGTTGTTTTTATCTCACTCCCGAAGGTGATTTATCCGCGGAAAAGACAACGGGAAGCTGGTTAAAAGCCAAAAGTGGAAGGAAGAAGCGGTGTCCCTACACAAAGCACCAGACGCTGGAGCTGGAGAAGGAGTTCTTGTTCAACATGTATCTGTCTCGGGAGCGCCGCCTGGAGATCAGCCGGAGTATTAACCTGACCGACAGACAGGTCAAGATCTGGTTCCAAAACAGACGCATGAAGCTCAAGAAACTCAACAGGGAGAACCGAGAAAGGGAGCAGGGTGCAGTTTATAACTACTCCTGAAGATTTTTTTATTTTATTTTATTTTTTACGTCCGTACACATACACTCATACACTAACACACACACACACACTCACTCACATATGCATATGCACAGACACGACAGGTACTGACGTGCATGTGTCAGTTTTATAATGCATCCATTAATCCTTTATACATTTTCTCTTCCTGTGCACACCAAACACACACACACACAGACACACAGCTACACACAACGTGCCTTCCTTTCTGACAATGCTGCAACTTGCAGACCAGACTTGACTTCTGGGTGAACACTTGCAGCAGCATTGGAACAGTGAGGTGCTATTACCTTGTAATTATAATTATAATACGACATGAACCAAAGGAAAGGAGGAGGCAATCTCAAGTAGTCTATAAATAACAAGTGGCATGTGAGCAGTTTCACTTTGCTGAGCTATAATGAATGTTTTGCCACTTGCTTCTTCCCTGGTATCTGTTGCTGTGGCATTTTTTTTTCGTGCAGTGTAATGTGCATGCACTAGATGATATTAAGCTATGTCATGGCAAACGATTCCAAAACAATAAAAAGGAGGGAGGAAATGGAAAGGTATTACCAACTTTGTCCTTCCCCTGACATAGTGGTGAAAATGAGAGGGAGGGAGAGAGACTGCGGATGAGAGAAGGAGATCATGGCAGTTTTAATAGAAGTGAGAGACCATAACGTTGATTTAAATATTATCCAGGTGACCACAGTAAGTCAAGGTCATAAAATTCTAATGTCAGGTTCGCCCTGGAAAGCGTTGGGGGTGGATTTTATGATCTGCAAATATAATGTGCTGCAGCAGTAAAGATGCGTTTAAAGGTGTGTGTGGAGGAGGGCTAATCCACACAGCAGAGACTGCAATGTGCAGGATCCAGGCGAGGCGCGCTGGGCTGGAAGGAGCAGCCTGCCTCCACCCGGGATAATGGAGCTTCATGGGAGCAGGAGATAAGAAAGATGGTGGATAAAGGAGGAACGCGGCGGCTGCAGCAGCAACAATAACAACAAGGCAAACACGTGGATAACAAAGAGCACCTGGGAGGCGTCTGCAGGATGCAACAGAAAGGTAGGACGCCAATATTTTTATTCCCCATTCTGGAAAGCATGCCACAGATGTCAGGGGAGCGTGCTTGACAGCTCATGTGGCACGCATGGTGCACGCCTGCTCCTGTCGATAGTTCATGTGAAGTTGTTGTGTAGTAATCAGCCTGCTGCTGCTGCTGCTGATTACTACTGTTTATCACTTGAATTGTGAGATTGTTTGCTGGTTAATTTTGGCATTCTGGATATTTACTCTGAACTGTGATTTTTTTAAGGCAAGTTTGCTGAACAGCTGAATGAATTCTTGTGTTATTCTGCGGTTAACATTGCTGCTAAAATTAGAATTACATGCTGTTTATGAGTAAACACGTCAAGGCATGCGGGGCTATCTAAGATGTATAGGCAATGTTTTTAAAATAAATAAATAAAAAAGAAAGAGAAATAATTAGCTTGATTGCAGCCTAGCAGTGTGTTTCTTGTGTTGGTACTCGCCTTTTCCTCTTTGTGCTGGGTAGTGTTAATCCTCACTTGGCTTTTGCATGCATTCTCCTTTCCATGGATTTTAACCCCCTTTTGCGCGAAGCTGAAGCGTGGTTTAGGTAGTTTCATGTTGTTGGGGTTGGCTTCCTGGCTCGGCAACAAGAAACTGCCTTGATTACGTCAGTTCGTCTTCATCAAGGGCACAATTTCCGCTGAATTACCCCCTATAGTCACCCAGGTCCCCGCAAATGGCATTGTAAATGAACTGAGCTGCAATACCTTGGACAGAGACGTTTTCTTTCTTTGCTGTTATTTTGTGGTGGGCTGTAAAACCTTCTGAGGCTCTCAGGAGGAGAATAGGTTGTAAACAACATGGGGTAAAGTTTTAGACTGCGTTGTGTTGCATCTGTCATCGCTGGCCCTGTCGGCTTGGGTTTCAGTTCGTGGTTTCAGCTGTGTTGTTATGGGATTGATAGATGGAGAGATGACTGGATACACGCATGACTCTGATGGAGCGATGTCACTTATTTGACTCATTATTTCATTTGACAAATGAATCTTTGTCCATAGCAGGAAATGGATGCATATTGACGTTCCCATGATGTGATGTGAGCAATCTTCTTTCTAATGACTGCTAATGCACCACTGCTGCAAAGCTCTTATTCCAAAATGCCGTGCAATCTCAAAATTGCTGCAAAGTTTTATACTGAGTCTAAGCCTCATAATAAAACTCATACCACTGGCTACATGATCTGGAATAATGCTGGCTTTGAAGATGAGTGATTCCAGAAACCTCAACAAAAACTTGCACTGACAAGTGACAGAAATCATTTCGATCGAAGCCACATTTTGCTGATCGAGGCCTGTTTCCTTTTTGAAAATCATTAAAAACACATTTTTTTTTGTGCATTAAAGAACTCGTCTCGTTTATGTCACATTTTAGCTGTTCTTTGTATGGTTTTACTGCAAAGAATGAAGTAGTTTTTTTCTGTTCTCGGCCAATTAATGAGAAAAATGCAGATTTCGTTTGTAATTTCAGATCATTTTACAGATAAAAATGCTTTTTTATTCTTTAGATATCAACTGAAATACTTTCAGCACTATATATAATTATTTTGTAGCACTTATATTTAATAATTTCTCTTAATTAGCATTCATTTCTAGCACATATGAGAAAATTTATTTTATTAGAAGCTATTATTGGACGCCAGTAAACCACTGATCATCACAGGTATAGCCAATATCCAACCTCTGTTTATCCTTAGGCAGTTATTAATAGATTACTTTAACGTATTTAGATTAACCAAGATTGATTAGGGCAACTGGAAATCTTCAGCAAAAGGATTATCGTATGTAAGAAAAACAGTAAGTTATTTATGGACGAGTTTGTTCTTATTCCCCAGTCAGCGTCTTTTCTGCAGAGAAGTCCAGTGTTTGGACGAGTCACTATCTCCCCTTGTTTTCTCAGCCCCCTCCTTTTGGCAGCAGTACCACTGGAAGAGACAGTCTGGAATCCAAAGTCACTTTCATTCAGCCCAGTGAATGAGTGTCTCCCTTGGAATGCATCACTGACAAAGACTTTACAGCGCTGGAAACAGCCCCGAGAGCTGCACAGATTCACCCTAAAACCATATACACATAAAGTCATTTATTTCACTTTGTAGTGGCACACAGGAACTGAAGCCTTTAGACGGCCACTTCCTTGGGACAGCTCGAGAAGTGTTACTGCCACTGGCATGATCAGACATGAGCCAAATATGCTAACGGCTATTCTTTTTCTCCACCGTCTTTTTCGGCAGATATTAGTTTTTTTTTTTCTTGAGAGATGTAGGAAAAATGAGCACCTCGGACTCGATTTTTATTTTTATTTTTAAAGGTTCACGATTAAATTCAGAAAACGAGGAACGTTATATTTCTTTCTATGCAAATGAGAAGATTTCCTGTTGTCATTTTTGTACAACGTTTGCAAAATGAAACTCAAAATGTGGCTTCTTTTGGATTTTTTTTATGGCAATTAGTAATTCGAAGTGATTCCTATTCGCATTGCATGGAATTTTCAATCAAAGTTTTTAAAATTTAGGTTATAAAAACAGATCAAAACAATTCCTATTTTAAATTTAAAGGATCGTGATGATCTCACACAAATTACTTCACCTTTTTGTCCACGAAAAAACTTTTTTTTATAGGACGGCAATACAACATATCATTGCGGCATGGCCTACTCAATATGGAAATATCGATATTGATCAGCAATAAGTCACAGCATTTATGCTGGAAAAACTATTATTTGAAGAAGTGATTATATTAAAAGAGCATTTGATACCCGCTGGATGGAGCATTTATTAGAATATGAATTCAGAGGCTGGATTGGTTGGATTGTGGAATATATAGGAAACAGTAATATGCAGCGGTTGTCTTGGAAAGAGAACTCATTGATGAAGATTGGGTAACACGGGTCGTTTTTGGACTTTGAGCTGGCCATACTGTTTGTCTGCGGTGCTTCCTGGTTAGCATATGGTGCTTTAAAAAGAAATCTTGTGATAGCTACTTGGAAATTTCCACATAGAGTAGAGTTTACGCACGGAGGATATTGTCCAAATGTTGCATATTGTGAAACGCTTGATCTGGAAAAAAACTGAACTGTGCATGTTTTTGGATGATTGTGTGTCTGTGTGTGGGAGAGAGAGGAAATTCTGGAATTACACTCGCATATTTGCTGGTATTATTTGTTGTAACTGTTTATCTGTGGTCTATCATTACATTCAATGTCACTCGTATAAACACAATGCGCCTTCCCGCTGCCATTACGCATTACGCAGAAGCCTGCAATTTGTAACCTAAGAAAAGGAAATCATGTTACAACGCATTGCGCACGTCGTTCGTTTATTATGAATCTCCCCCTAACAATGGTGGTGCTGATGGAAGTAAACACAAACAACTCACTTGTCAATAAAGAATAATCATTTTTCACCTTACATAATGTAATATGAGCTTGATCGGCCTGCCGAGCTTTGACATGATCATCATATGGAGGAGAAATCTGCAATCTCTCACAGTCCAGTTTACCATTCATACATTTATCAAGTATGTTTGCTACCTGCGGACAAAGTCATGATCTTAACTAAAACTGCTTTATTTAACAATATCTATATTTGCAGTTTTACTCAAAAGAGACGCACCTTTTCCAATGTCAGATGTGGTTATTGGATTAAAAGCAGGAATGCTGAGAGTATTGACGTGGATTCAAATGAATATGAGGCGTCAGCGCACTGCGGAGGTAACACAAGCTGCCGCCGAAATGTGTCTCACTGTCAGGTTTTTTTTTTTTTTCTCTTTCGTGTCCAGTTGCAGTCTGACTGCTGCTCCTGGCTGTTACAAGTTGTCTGTATCTACAACAAAAACCCACAGCATCCACATCAGTCAGCGTTACAATGCAGCTATTGGCCTGTCGTTTGCGTCATGCTGAACAAGATAGCATCAGTCTTTGGCACTGCTGTTATCATCACTGATTCATCAACCAGTAAAAGACGAATGATTTTTTTTTTTTTTTTTTTTGCTTCTGAGGCTCAGGCAGAATCCAACATAACCGCAGAGAGTCTACGGTTTGGGGCTGTCATATGTTGCATAGACCTCGGAGACAAATGTGTGATTTTTTGGACCACAGAAGCTAAAATAGAGGAGCACAGTCTCCTAAAAGCAAGTCAAACCTGCAGTTTTGTACATTCCGTCTCCGTCTAAACTTTTAACCGTGTTTCTTTACTAATTTCCTGTCTTGCTGTAGTGCATTGGCGATATTCGAGCACAAATATGTCACACAACACAAACACTTATTTTCATCTGTTTACCATCCAAATAGATTAAAGAAAACACGATATATGAAGCGATGTCACAATTCAACAAACTGTGATCGTCTCAAATCGTCTTCTTGGAACTGTGTTAAAGAAGAACAGACATAAAGGACAGAGACTGCAAAAAATAAAGGAACGACAACAACA